CTGCTTTTGGCGCTTAACTAGTTCCACATTTTCTAACAAAGAAACTTTAGCTCAAAAGGACTGCTGGACTGTTAGGAATACCTTTCATACAAACATGATCCAGCCTAGGGCTGTTCGAAAAAAAATAAAACTATTAATTTGAACAGCATCTTTTTAACAGTTGATTACCCTGAACTTCAAGTATAATTCAACTGCAAAGTATTCAGCTGAAGCCACATCTTTTTCAACTTCCCCACAGCATTTGTCATAGAGGGCAGCCAGTGCAGATCTGGTGAAATTATGCCGAGATGGCATCGGGTAACGCTAGTGTTAACCAGTTTCTTAAACCCCTGGTTGCTAACTGGCCACATGTCTTTAGCTATGTAGAATGTGATGGCATCTGTTATATCTTTGTGTCTTTGCGAGCTGGTTGAGTAGGCCGTTGCACTGTAAAGCGCGTCCTTAATCGATGACTGTGATGTCGTGGATGAAGTCGAGGGGGCACGCTCGTGGACTGTTAACGGGGGGGGAGCCTCCCTGCGGGGAAACTGTGGACCTCTGTCGCCTGTCAGCGCAACTGAAATGATGACGTTTAAAAAAGGGGGCCACGCCGGCCGTCTGTGATTCTCCAGAACACACAGATGGCCAGTCCGTCCCTGCTGCACTGTACTTTTGTTTGTTCCACGTCGGACTCCTTAACCCAAAGTATTTCCAAACAGCGGAATTAGTTTGACCTTTCTTGTTCACGAGTGTCTCTTTTTCTACCATCTTCGCTCCCGCTGAACTCACACAACTAATGTCACTCACAACCTGGCCAAGGGGGCTTTTAGGGAGGGGCGAAAGCGCACGCAGCAAAGTAATGTTTTTAGTAATCGTTGCAAGCCAAAATCATAATCGAGATTAAAATAAGATTAATTGCACAGCCCTAGTACTTGGTTAGACCCTGGCTTTTTAAAACATTTGGCAGAGGGCTTAATGATTTCTGTATCAGTTATTCAAGTAGTTTTAACTTTTAAAACACAGAAAGCTTGAGAATGAAGTGTAAACTAAGCAGATGTGTCTGATTGTGTTGTTGCAGAGCCAAGACCTGCATTTATAGGATGAATTCAGAATGGATTGCTTTTGCCATGGCAAACACTTTATTTGTGCCTCTGTGCTGCATCTTAATCGTTTTCTGTTCTTTTTCTTTTCATCCACTTGTTGTTTTCCCCCTGCTTGCCTGTTTGTCTGGAATCTATGACTACGCTTGACATATTATGATTATAATCTGTTTTTGGAATGTTCTTTCCTCCAGCCTCTGCCATGATGGAGCTTTGCAGTGTGACACGAGAGAGTGTGAAGGTAAGAAAGCGCACTAAATGTGGGTTGGAGAAAAAAAAACGTCCTGGTTTAATATTGCCCTCATTTTGTTACCCTTCCTTTTTTTTTACCTTCTTCCAGTCATCCTCAGCGAGTGGTCAGAGTGGACTCCCTGCTCTCCCTGCGTGCCCTCGTCCTCCCTGACTGGAGTCATAAGTAGCAGTAAAATTGTCTCAATCCAGAGGCGTTTCCGGGCCTGTTTGGACCTAGAATCAGGTCTTCCGGTCCCTAGAGAGGAGGAGGAGGAGAGCAAATGCCCACGACCGCTGGAGGAGGAGAGGCTCTGTCCAGACGCCAACATCTGCAGCGGTAATGGTTTTGTTGTAGTGGACAAAAATATGTTTACAAAAGAACAAAGTGTGTATTTGATCTCAGTAGAGAGATGCTGTCAGTTGCTCCTTTTACTCCAGGAGCAATGATGGGAAGATTGTGCTCCGCCCCAGTTCACTTCAGCACGTAGCAGCAGTCTGATACTCTGCTCCCATTTACAGATAGTAACTCAGTTAACTGGTTGTACACAAGCATGGCTCCATAGAAACAGAATAGAAAAGAATAACAATGTGGGCCAGGGTGATAATGAAATTACTCTAGCATGGCGTTCTCTTGAGAGGAAAAGGAATTACTTTCATGCACAACTGCTACAAAGCAAGGCATATAATTTATATATAAAATAAATATATATAACGAACAGGCTGTTAAGACAAGTTGAATAAGAGGCCATAGCCAATAGAACATCCACATCCACATAAAAAAAAAGCTCAGAACTGAAGTTAATAAATGACTTGAATATTGAAAAGCTTATTTTTCAATGCATGTTGGAGCAGACCTCAAGTTATGTTATATTTCAGGTATTTGGTGCTTAAAAACGTAATGTGACTTCTACATAGCTTTAGCAATATTCAGCATTCCTGTCCCAGCAAACCAGAGATCTTGAATGCAGCAACAGATGAGATTTATTAAAGCCCTGAACCATCCATTAGACAAAAGTAAACACGTATAATCTCATATGTATTCCACTTCTCTGAGTCTCAGTGAGGGCTGATTGACTTCTAAGAGAGATGTGTCGAGACAAAGCTACAATATTTGAGCCTATTCAAAATAACCAATGGTCAGGCGTTTTCTAAATCTTGCTGAGACATAATCACTTGAATTATTCATTTGTTCTTTGACTTGATTATACTGTTACATAACCCTGTGTGTTGTCCACATACATATTTATGGTAGGAGGTTTTGTTTTTCCACATTTTGAGCTAGTGATTATTTTAGAGGTTACACAGAAGATGTCTGGGAATGGAGCTTTGGAGAACTCAATGTCATATTTCTAACTTTGATGTGGAATTGGACAAAGTAGTCTATTCATAAGGTAACAGAACATCTGACGGTTTTTCCAGTACAATTGGATCAATTTAACTGTTAGAATATGGTTCGGGGAGCATTTAAAACAGAAAGAATAGACTTTAATCTGGAATCTGTCGAAAAGTGTGGTTCCAGGTTTCCATTGTTATCCCTGTGAATATGTTTTATGTGTTAGTTCATTGCTGACAGTTCAGATTAATAGTTACCATCAGTAGATAGATTTAAAGCTTGTTATCAGTGTCTACTGAGAAATATAGCATTGTGCATCCCCACTGCCCTATTCTCATTATTTCCCAAAAATGGAAAAGGGGTTTGAAGAAAGGAAGATTTCCATGTCGCTGTAAGGTTGATTAGATTTAGCGTGTGTCTGCAAAGAATGGTTTATCCTGCATTCACTCTATCGTCGCTCCATTCTTCTCATATTTGGATTCGAATGGGAATGTCTCTACATTACTACCATGCCCAACGGACCGTAGTTTGATTCTGATGTCAAATATTGAAGGTCTTTTACTCCATCATAGAAAGTCGAGATATCTACAACTGCTCAGTGAAGATAAATTGCTTTAATTTACTATGAATAAATGGAACTTAATCTTATCTCTCATAAATAATTCAGACATTTCACCCTCTCAAATAGGCTTGTGCATCAGTCCACAAACAACAATATGCTTTTGTTATCTTGGATGGTGATTACAGCAATTACAGATATTACAGCGGCCATCATGATAATTACAGCCATTATCATTAAGAAGGGTTGATGCTGGTTATGATTATCATTGTACCCTTCCAGATCTGTGTCAGTGGAGTGTCTGGAGCGCCTGGACAGTGTGTGCGGAGCCCTGCAGCGGGGGAGTCAGGCAGCGCTTCAGACGGCCCCTGGCCTCTCCTCCAGGACCCCTCTGTAAGAGCCAACTGACCCAGAGCCAGAGCTGCAACACAGGACTATGCCCAGGTACAATTTATTTTATTTTACGTTTTAGATCACATACACAGAGGAGGTTAATCCAAAATGTAGTGGAAATGTCTTCAAGAAATGTGTGGGTCAAACAATTATATTGTGCTATTGGTTGATATTAACTAATTACTTTTACTCAAGTACTTTGCATAAGTAAAAGTGTTTTGACAGTATGCTACTCCTTTTGCCCTTTAACATTTATTTTACAACCCCTAGTTACTAGCTACAATGCAGATTTAGATTTAATACATTCAAAGTTATAAATGATTGTAGGTTAAGCTGAATAGCAGTTTATGAAGTAATTCAAATAAGTGATAACACATTAAAGCATCTTTAATTATAATTTTCTCATACGGCATGATCTGAAATGGGCTAATCTCTATGAGGAGTTATTTTACTGTTGGTACTTTTAATATATTATGATACTTAAACTTTTGTACTTTTACTTGAGGAACATTTTGAATACAGGACTTTTACTTGTAACTGAGCATTAAAGTATTTCTTCTACCTGTGTGTTTTGTGTTCGGATCATTTATTGCAAAGACTTTATTTCCATGCAAGTCTTTCATATCACTCCTGGCAGTCAGAAAAGCCCAAATGTTACTGTCTGCGGTCGTTTAAGTGAGCTTTGCTTTGCTCTCATGAAAAGTGGGAAAGATTGACTTTCCTTGTCTCTCAGGTGAGCGCTGTGAGGACAGGGGGCGGACCTACGAGGAGAGCTGTGCCAATCAATGTCCTCGCAGCTGCACTGACTTATGGGAGCATGTGCAGTGTCTCCAAGGCACCTGCCATCCAGGTACACTTTGACTTGTAGCATCAACAGTTGCTTTAAAGACTGCAAACTATTGGTTTCTCAATGTGTACTTTACTTAATCTCTCAGGTTGCCGTTGTCAAGAGGGACAGTTGTTGCAGGATGGCCATTGTGTGCCAGTGACAAAGTGTCGCTGTGGTATCCCATCAGGCAACGGGACGCTGGAGTTCCGCCCTAAAGAGGAGCTTTCCATGGACTGTAACACCTGGTTAGAAGCATTTTACTTTTTTCAAAATTCAAGGCTTTTATTGTCCTTTGTGCATAGCTAATGAAAATCTTAGGTCTCAGGCTCCTCCAATAGTGCAACACCATAAAACAGATACAATAGTGAAAGTAAATAAAAATAGAATATAGTAGAAATAGTGCAGAATAGTCTATATACAAGTAATTGGAATATTGATATATATAAGTTGCAAACAGATGAATATTATGGATGTTCTTTCATCATCACAACATTCACTTCACTTACTTTTATTTATCTCTTCAACAACTCTCTCCTTCCTCTTCAGTGTGTGTGAGAATGGTACTCTGGTGTGTACTAAGCTCCAGTGCCCGGTTTATGAGCCCTGGAGCCCATGGAGCTCGTGCTCAGCTTCCTGTGGGCGGGGCCAGATGACCAGGACACGCCTTTGCCAGGACACAGAGGGCGGTCCTTCCTGTGGGAACACCATGCAGACGGAGAGCTGTGATCTGCCATCATGTCCAGGTTTGACTTAGAGATGGAAAATCCGGATCCTTTTACGGACTCAAGGTCTTCTGAGTCAGTCATTGAAGACATCCGGATCATACGAGTCCTTTGAGTCATATGAGTCACCAGGAGCGTAGGTATCCTACCGGTGACACAGGAGCACATAGTCTCCAACTTCAAATCAATTCAAATTTTAGAGCTACTAGTGAGGGCGGCAGTTTGTGTATTTTGAATTTGTCAGTTGAGATTTGCATTTCAGAAGCATATTAAACTATCGTTACATTAACCTCCGCTACACAAACATGATCTAACAACGTTTGTGTCTTAATGCTTGTTTATTGCAGTATTTGGCTTCTTACACTTGACTGGGTGAAGTAGTCAAATGATCTGTGCACAGTATGCATCTACGTTATCACAAACAGAGCTGACACAGAGTATGAAAACCATGACGAGTCCGAAACCGTTTGCTGTTTCGCACTGTGTGGAGTAATCCACTCATTCAGTCTGCTCACCAAATCTGAGTCTGCTGTTGACTCGTGCATGATGAGTCTGGATCTCTGGATCTACTACGGTTACGGCTCTGAGTCCGCACGGGTCTGCAGGAAGTTTCACTGATCCGCGTGCCCTGAGACAAGCAATAACTTCTGGCAGCTATCCTACTTGCTAAAGGCTAGGCAGATGGACTGGGGTACTTTGTAATGTGATTTTACTTGTTATAAGGAGAGTAGCGAGTGAAGCAATTTATAGTTTTAATTTGTACGTCGCCAGGTGTAGGACTCGGGTTAATGGAGTGGGGAGACTCGTCACTCCCAGGTCATTACTAGGATCCGGGTTAATGATCCGGATGAATCAGGACTCACCCATCCCTAGTTTGACTAGGAACAAGTACCAACATGCACAATTGAGAATGTGCCAACCTTTTTTTACATCAAACAGTGTTAAAAGTGAAAGTTGTGTCACCTGTTAATACTCCGCCTGTGTCCGACATCTCTCCCTCCAGTGGGATGTTTGTTGGGCGAGTGGTCATCCTGGAGTGAGTGCAGCACCTCTTGTGGTGGGGGGTTGTCATCACGGAACAAGACGGTCCTCAGAGAGCCGGAGCCTGGTGGGACGGCCTGTGTGGGACCACTAGAACAGCACACTGCCTGTAACACCAACAGCTGCCGGCCTGGTAACAAAAACAAACACACACATCATTTCAATTTGTACATTTGGCTAATTACATTTTATTTTTACCAAGCAATGAAACTCCTAAGTTCTAGAATACAGTGGTAACTTAGCAACTCATAACCACATGAATTAGTTGTGTTCTCACTTTTTTTATAGTTTTATGTGGTGAAAGGTGATCCCAAATGTGTCTGAGGACAGATTGTAAAGTGTACTAAAAGAAAAATCCCACATATGTGTGTATTGAAATATATACAGTATATATGGACCTTTCTGTAACATCACCTGAGATGCCCCATAAATCAAATGACAAATGAGAATATCAAGTTAAACCTAATTTATTTATACTTTGATAAGGACAATACTGTACACAAGTTCTTTATTTGAAATCAGCCGTGTTTCTTTTGCTCAGTTTCCAAACACTGCAGGAAGTTTGATAAAGTTTTCCTGTCCGATGGCGGCCGCCCTCTCGCATTCCACACGCAAAATGTTCTCCACTTTTGCTCCGATAAGCCTGTTTATCTGTGCTATGCGACTCTGCCATGTTTGCTCCGTCTCCTCATCCATGAACTCGAGTGTCGCGCTATCGGAAAGGGACATTTGATTTATTTTTCCGTCCTCCCGTTATGCAAATAGTTGAAGACCTTAAAGTAACCAACATTTTTTTGTGTTTAATAACTGTAATGTAATTCCTGCTGTTATCAACAGTAACATATATGTAATCAGATTACAATAACATGTTACTTCGCAGCATGTTACCCTCAAAACTGTATATGAGACCTAATGAAATTCATTGTATGTTCGTTTATCTTTGTGTGTTGCAGAGTGTCCTCGAGGGCAGGTGTTCAGTGACTGTTCAGGCTCCTGTCCTTACACCTGTGAAGACTTGTGGCCACACACTCAGTGTTTAACCGGACCCTGCTCTCCTGGGTGCAAGTGCCCCCCCGGACAGGTCTGGACACCCCGTGTGTTTTTAAATGTGCATGTGTGTTTTTGTGTAGTTGGATCCTTTTACCCGTGAAATGATCTGATTCTCACGGTGTCCCCCACAGGTGCTGCATGAAGGCTCCTGTGTGTCCCAGGCTGAATGTCCCTGTTCACTGCTGTCCCTGCCGACTGCTTACCAGCGCTGGAATATGAGCACTGAGGAGATCACAGACACTCTGCTGCCAGCTGGAACAGCCTTTCAGCACCTCTGCAACACATGGTAATGCATTACACATGAGCATCTAGACTCACACGGACACATAGTGCTTTTACATCGAGCTGACCATGTCCATTTGTTTAGTCAAATATTTCGAACATTACAAGCATGTTTTCTTTAAATAATGGAGAAAAAACAAGGACTTGGGCAGGTTCCGTTATAAGCTAGCTTTACTAAAACTCAAAATGAATTTCTGGTTGATATTAAATAAATCCATGACATTAATATTTCACATCATTTTCAGGCTATAGCCAAGATCAAACAGTAGTCATTTACTCCCAGCTTTCATCATTTTAACCCTTTGTCATTGGTCTAGATCAAGTGGCATATTTATGCTGATGCTTTAAGTATGATCAAACAAATAACTTATCTTCTCTTAGGGTACTGATTGACACTGCTTGTGTCCACACAATTCAGGTATGGGAAGGCTGTATGTATTGGCCACATTTAAAAGAGCATTATAAAATAACAAAGTCCCTGAGATGATTAATACACAGTAACTGAGTCCCAGAGGATATTGCTTATTCTCTATGCATTTCGGAGGGTAGAACACAAAGAACACAAGGATAAATTAGCATACTGGAGCTGACTTTGTACTCTATTAGAATTGGAAAGTTCATGCAGTTTTCGAGTTGTATTAATGTTTTGAATAAGGCTTGGCCTTAGCTGCAAATGGTGACACAAGGGGAAAACAGAATGTATGGTGGGTAAAGGAAACTGATGTTACATGTTAATATTTTACTGGATGCAGACAAAGGTGAGCACATGATGAAACATTTTGTTTTTTGTCTTTTTATTGAAACACTTGCTTCAAGGTGACTTAAATATTTTTGTATCAGCATATACAGTATACTATGGTTAGGTTAAGGAAACTAAAACCACATGGTTAAGAAGTTGTCTGATGGCAGGGTGTTGTATGAATAGGAGATAATTAAAATATGCAAAGGGTTTATGTAAAGTGTTGTTAAAACATTAGGAAATTAGAACCGTACCACCGTCGGGTTGACCATGTTGTGATTAATTCATGATAAATGTGCCACGCTATTCCAAGTAATCTGACAATGATATTTTGCAATTATAGACGCTACTCAAAAAAAGTGTTGTGTATCATTGGCAGAGTTGAGTTTCATTATCTTAGTTAAACAACAATCCAGTTTGGTACTATGATATCTGCTGTAATAGATAGTCTAGTATACAGCAGACATAACGTAGGTCATCTCATCTGCGCAGACTCATTTTGATCCTCTTTAATAAATACTGAATGGATCAGCCTTGTGACATGAGGGAGGTTATGGGGAACACATATAAAAAAATACACACACCAATCTTCATCCTGCAAGAAAGAGCCATACATATTATACATAAAACTACCTACAAAGAACCAACAAATGGATGGTTTATCAAACTAAAAACACTAAAACTACAAGACCTGGTTGACCATAAAACTATCCAAATTATGTTCAAAGAACCAAATCAACAATGGCCACATAATATCCAGGGACTTATTAAACGGAGAGGAAACATACACATGTTGAGAGGAAACGATAGTTACGTATGTAACTACGGTTCTATGAATACTGGATGACCGCCAGAGGCGGTGCTTTAGCACTGGATATCTTCTGTCTCGCGCAGGTCGAATATGTATATCAACAAAGTCACGTGTGACCTCGTATGACCCCGGAAGGCATAAGTTCCGGTGTTGTCAACGAGTTCAGTTCTATGGAATCTTCTCGCGGAAACACGAGATTCCGAGTGACCAAGAAACTCTGGCGGTCATCCAGTATTCATAGAACCGTAGTTACATACGTAACTATCGTTCTATTTCATCCTTACTGACCGCCAGAGGCGGTGCTTTAGCACTGGATGACCTATACCAACAGAGTCACGAGGAAGTCTGAATACTCCCCTTATAAGGATGGCCTAGGCTGACTCTGCAGGAGGACCACACCCAGCGGGTTAGGGGCGGCAACATTCACCCTGTAGTATCTGGCGAATGTGCTCGGGGATGCCCATGTAGCCGCAGCACATACAGTGGGGCAAAACCAATTGTGCAAGTTCTCCCACTTAAAAAGATGAGAGAGGTCTGTAATTTTCATCCTAGGTATACCTCAACTATGAGAGACNGTTATATCTTTGTGAGCTGGTTGAGTAGGCCATTGCACTGTAAAGCGAGTCCTTAATTGATGACTGTGATGTGGTGGATGAAGTCGAGGGGGCACGCTCGTGGACGAGCGTGCCCCCTCGACTTCATCCACCACATCACAGTCATCAATTAAGGACTCGCTTTACAGTGCAATGGCCTACTCAACCAGCTCACAAAGATATAACAGATGCCATCACATTCTACATAGCTAAAGACATGTGCCCAGTTAGCACGGTTAGCATTCAGGGGTTTAGGCAACTGGTTAACACTATGTACAAGCGTTACGCGATGCCATCTCGCCATCATTTCACCAGATCTGCACTGCCTGCCCAATATGACAAATGCTGTGGGGATGTTGAAAAAGATGTGGCTTCAGCTGAATACTTTGCAGTTGAATTATACTTAAAGTTCAGGGTAATCAACTGCTAAAAAGATACTTTAAAAAAAAAAAAAAGTTTAAAGTTCAATAAATTGATGTTTTCAAAGTCAATAAATAATCATATAATCGTGATATCAATATTGACCAAAATAATCATGATTATGATTTTTGCCATGATCGAGGAGACCTACCAAGTACTGCAGCCTATGGTGACCATGGCCCCCTGGGGGAGGGTGACAGGTGTGGGGGGTGGTCCGGAGGCTTGGTGCTGCAGGTGGATGCAGCCACACTCCTCTGGAGGAACACAGGTACCATTCTGCTGCAGCAGGCCCTGAAGAGAAAAGCACACAATTCACAGAAAGGAAGAACTGATGCAGTGATGCTTTTATATTTTTGTATAATTTGGTTTGAACATTCAGGCCAAAATAGGAACTGTTCTTTTCCTTTATATCTACAGATCCATGCTCAATCGTTATATATTTGTACAGACAAGGTAATATACTGTATATATGCTACTAACCATATAGGCATTTGTCAACAATTAAATAGTCAAATAACATATTTATGTTGCAGTTATTAACTTTGAAAAAGAAGCATTTCAAGCAGCTGGATCAATATTTTTCACAACAACATTATTTAAAATAAACCCAATGTATTTATGTCAAAGGAATTCCTCAAGGTGATACAACTCCAGAGAATATGCAGCTCCTCTTGGCTTTACAGAGCTTTATAGTGAGTTTCAGTAAATGGTTTAGTTACTGTTTTTGGTTAACCTTTTTTTAACGAGGGTTTTGTTTGGCTGTTTGAACCCACTGTGCACTACCTGCTCCGCACCAACCAGCAGACAGACAAAGTGAGAGACTAGGTAATATATAGCTAAGCATTAAGCAGCTAGAGAGCCAGACATTTCCCTCAGGACATAAAAAAGAGTGAATATTGGACTTACATTCATCAGGTGAAATAAACAACCCCAAATAAATGATAATGATGCATTCTGTGTAAATAATAAATGATTTCCAACAAGTTTGCCATTGTGTTACTGCAGGTATAAGTATTTAATGACATGCAGAAAAGTAATCAATGTTTGGGAAATGAATTACGGTACTTTGGTTTTACACCTCTGGGTATCTGCTTTTTGTTATTTCTTTCATTTATCTACCCCCACTGCTGCTGTCGGTGCTGTGAGAGGAGTTTGTGCAGTAAACCAAGCTGGAAGCCCCAAACTGAGCAAAACCACATTACAGAAATGTCATATCAAAGTAATGTATTAACGACAATATGAAGCAGTGCATATTTTACTTTCTAAACTAATGCCAGAGAACAAATACAGTCCAGCAGTATTTTTACTATGTTTACATGCATTTGAAGTCTCATGCTTTAGAATGTAGATATAAAGTTTGTAATGAGTTAATTTTGACTTGACATCATATGTTTTGAGTCTTTCTTCTACCTCAAGTGAATTCAGGTGTAATTCAAGTCTAAAAATAGACTGTTCACTGTGAAGCGTGTTTCTCAGTGTGATGTGAGAAATATGTAAGAAAAAGCTTGTTTTGCATCTCACATATTTGATGAAATTGTCTTAAACTGTCTGACTCATATGTGTTTAATTATCAACAGACAAGAATGTGTCTTTACTTAACAGTATTATCCCAGTATCTCCACTGCCATGTTTATTGTCAGGAACCAGAATCCTGAATGTAGAACAATTATTCACATTCACATAATACAAATGATCTAATTTTGTGTGAGGATGAATGATGATTGACCATAGTATTTCCTATATAAATATGGGGAATGGTATTCTCACCTGTGGGCAGTAGCAGCCAGGTGTACACTCCCTGACTCCTGAACAGAGATCTCCACGGCCCTGCAGCACACACTGCTTCTCACAGGGAGCACCACAGGCGGAGTACTCAAATGGGGCTTCACAATCTACAAACATGAGAAAACACATCACAGTATTTAAATGAAGGAAATCAAACACACTCAACCTAATGCATGTACCAGATCAATCACATTCTGCTGATTCCTGTGTACATTATAGATCCCAATATGCATAAAAGGAATATTCAAGTGCACCTTGAACCATGAGAGGATCACACACAGGCCTCTTTGTTTCATATAGATATATATATAAACAGTTTCCATGGTTGTTAACTCACCTCCACACTGACTGAGACTGCACGTCCTGCTCTGGGTTTCAACAGGAGTGCACTGTTGCCCCCTGGTGGCCGGGGAGAGGGCTACACGGTAGCGCTGCTGCCTCTGAGACTGACAGGAGCACGGAGACCAAACACTCCACCCCGACATGGGACAGTCTGCAGTCAGAAGAAAACAAATCCATCACTCTGGTGCTACATGCTGATTTTTGTGTGATACACTTACAATCTGTGAAGCAGCCCTTTGACTTATACTCACTTGACCCAGAGATGGTCCCAGTACTGCTAAATTAATTAGTGTATAATAGATATATTTTGTACCAAAAATGATGTCTTCCTGTTAACAATCAATACAAAAGCTAGCTGTCTTACTGGCATCAACTAAAGTACAATGTAGGCAGACCCAGAAATGAAATAAGCAACCATGATGATCTGACACAAATAGCAAAAGATGGTTTCAGATTTAAAATAAATCTTTGCATAAATCAATTCTCCAAATAAGATATGACTAGGACAAGCAACACAAAATTAATGGATTAATCACAATCTTTATTCAATTTTTTGATCCCTGATTTGTATCAAAAGTACCCATAATTTCAACCAAGCTTTTAGAAAATAATCTGGACAATTAAGCATACACAAGGTAATATTGTACACTATTACATATCAACATAAATATGAGATGGTATTAAGATAAGCCTAGCTAATATCAACCGAAAGCAGCATCTTTGAGTTTTGTGTGCACCTGGACAGGGCCGTTTGTAACACAGCTGGGTTTCCTCTCTGTTCCTCTCAGCCTCGATCTCAGAGGGACACGCTGCATCTCCTCCCTCCTCACACACACACACCCTGCGCCGCAACACCGAACCTGCGCCACAGCTCCGGGAACATGGTGACCATGGCGACCAGGGGCAAAGATCATCTGGGAACAAGGGAGTCAATATGATCAGGGCAAGTGTGAACTGTATTGCTGACATCCCTCTTCCAAGATAATACAGCTAATACAATATTTATCAAAATAACTTAAAATAAATAAATTATGTGCATCAGTTCTTGGTACAGTAATGGGCACAATCTAAAGATGGCTATGAATGAATGAAATTACATAATTGTGGCATTTTGTAACAAACCCAGACAGGGAGGAGTGTGACAGTCCTGGGTTTCTCTTTCTGGCCCGCTGCAGTGAGACCCGTTGTTTCGTGGGGGGGGGTTGATGCAGGCGCGGGTGTGAACCTGGGTGCCTCGTCCACAGGTCACTGAGCAGTCAGACCACACTGACCACGGGGTCCAACCACCGTCCACTGCACACAACACAAAGCACTTGGTTATTGGATAATTAGCTGAGTATAAAGTTGAACACATCTGCAGCAGTGCCTACATTTTCGCACACAGTTTACTCTTGTCTAAAATCATTGCAGTGACCCACCTCTGCATTCAATGTCTTGGCAGTAATCTCCCTCTGGGGTGCATGTGCTAGGAGGAAAAACAAATGTACAACATCATTTGAGTACTCATTTTCATTTTTTTGCAAACCCTTTATCAGCCAAATACACTTTTCCTCTATGTTTTTGTGCATCACTCACCATTGTTTACACTCGCCCTGCAGCCAAGTGTCTCCCACTGTAAGCTCCTGGTCGTCATGGAGACAGAGAGGCGGGCAAGGTCCGGGGTCGCAGGATTTATGCTGGACTTCCTCAAACTGGCAATCTGCTCCTTCGGTCTCCGGGACCAGAGACCTGACACACAACAGACACAAAAGTCTCTTTAGAAATACTTTTTTGAGAGGTTGGGATGAACAGGTATTTATGAGTGGTTTCCCCTCACCTGTATCTGGTTCTCTGGCCCTTCCCACAGGAAACGCTGCACAATGCCCAACTGGACCAGGAGCTCCAGGTGCAGGAGGCCTGGCAGCTGTGATTGGTGCAGAAGAGCTGTCCGTCAGAGCAGCTGCAGTTGTTACAGTCCACCTGATGCACGCTGCCGGCTGCCCAGATTTGTCCCAGTGAGTCCGTACAGTCACACTGCCAGAGCTGCACACACACCCCGTCCTGCTGCAGCTGGCCTGGACACATAGTAAACAAAAGTGTACTATGTTAATAAACATATGGTTTTTTAGCCTATTATTGCAGTGCTGGTCATATTACTAGCCCCGCATGCACTGAACTGAATATGATTGGTTCCTCATTTACCAAAATAGAAAATATTTAAATGTTGTCATTAACCTTCACCTGTTTTTCAAGCCATGAAAATGGTTTCATTTTTACTGATCCCGTTTTTTGACATTTCTGCATCAAATACAATACACTTAATGTGAATGACTCCCCGTTTGCATAACAACATTTAAATACCAGAACAGCAACATTTGCAAAAAACGACTCCAAGTTCTGTCTAAAGATGATGAACATATTCTGGAAAAATATTTTTTGACAAGTTCTGTCTAAAGATGATGAACATATTCTGGAAAAATATTTTTTGATAGACCAGGGTTGAGCCAAAATAAAAAAAAAAAATAAACATTAGAACTTATAGAACATTTTGTGCCGTCATTTTATTGAATGTGTTTGGTTGTAAAATAACAGTATTCTCCCTGTAGAACTTTAGGTTCTGTATTTATTTTAGTGTTTGATCATACAAATCTAATACAAAAAAAATGTAAATTTTTTTTTTTCTCATCAGAACTTTATTTAAAGGGGACCTATCATGCAAAATGCACCTTTGTACGTCTTTTATACATGAATATGTGTCCCCGGTGTTCCAGCGAACTCACCGAGTGTCAGAAAACACAACCCTCTCTATTTTCCTCCATACCCAAATCTCTAAAAAAGGGGCTGCAACGGATCTGATACAGACTGATCCAGATTTGAACACTTCTGTGACGTCACAGAAGTGGCGCTACGGCTATTGGGCCAACTCCACCAATCAGGAGGAGATAGCCACGGACATTGCCGTTCGAAAGCGCTGGAGACGCTGTAGTACATATGCCAGGCCTGTAGATGATGCTGTTCTCACAGAATCAGCCCATGCAAAGACAGTGTTAAATTGAGCGAAATGAGGAATGGCTAAAATGAATGATTTTGAAAAATAAAAAGTATAAATATGCCTTATGGTCCTACACTATATTATTCAAATATAGCATGATAGGTCCACTTTAAGGTATTTGAATGTAACATTTAAAGACAATGGATTTTGAAAAGAGAGGAAACATCTGTAACATTTCCTGTAAAATCTTTAAGGACAATTCCTGTATATTAATTGCACTTTATTTCAGTAAAGTATTTTACTTACATTTTATGGTTTTTGTTTGGCAGCCGCTGCTGCCAGTCATTTTACCGTTTTTTTACAGTGTAGATATATATAATTTGGTAAATTTGTCGAACTAACCCTTTACATGGTTTATCCTAAATATGGCTTGACAGCACCCAGGCTCATTGATATACAGCATAGTTTGTTCAAACACACATACAGTACACTGTTGTTTATCTATCTAGGACACACACGTAAAAACACACACACACACCTTTAGGGCAGCGGCAGCCAGGCTGACAGTCGGTGTTGTCCTGGCACTCGATGCCCTGCTGGAGGTCTGAGCAGCGCTGTGGACACTGGTTGGCACACGATACAAACTCCTGGCCTGGCGGGCATCCTTTCTCATCTGACAAAACACAAACAGAAGGTCATGAATTTGTTCCATGACGCCGCAGGCATTTTCTTTGCCTCACCAAGAATGCTATTCACAGCCTGTGGTGACTTTTGGAATACAAAGACTCGTCTCACCGCATGGTTTGGTGTTGCAGGGTTTGACCTGGTTCTTCTCTCCTTCACACTTCTTCCCCCCGTTCTTGGGCGGTGGGCTGGAGCAGGAGCGGGTTCGTATGGAGCGCCCCCCCCCGCAGCGCTTATCACAGCGGGACCATGGACTCCAGCGAGACCAACCTCCATCAACTACAGCATCCACACACAAATAAACAGAATTAAATCAAGAGACATAAAATATGTTTTTTGCATGTTTTATAACAACAAATCACATACTTTAACCAAAATCATCATTCCAGTCTATCACAACTTTTCATATTTTACGCCATAGTTTCTATTGTGTATATGACAATGTTTTTAACAATGGTGTTGATATGTGGCAACCATTTGTTGGTCATTTCAATATTTTAAGAAACGAGTGAACTAAAGTTTGAATTAACAAATAAATCAAAGCAGAATATCAACTGAATTTATTGGGGCAGAAACAGCATTATTAATAGTACAAAGTGTTTACTTTGTGCACTTAACTCAACAAATTAAGTTTGTGCACTAAACAAATGTGATTTACAACAATGCATAATGTGTGGGACAAACCTGAGGGCAAAGACTAAATAGTGGCACACAGATAAAAAAATGTAATAGTCCAAATGTACTGTACAGTCACAGTCAGTTTTTTTCATGGATTTGCTATTTTGACTCTACATGCTGATCAGGCTGCTGACCTCTGCAGGGCTTGATGTTACAGAAGCGATGCTCCAGGTTGCCCCCCAGGATGTCTTCACACCAGGAGCCGTTGGAGCGGGGGCTGAGGAAGGTTCGGATCTTCTGCTGCTGACCCACCCCGCAGGACCGAGAACAGGAGCTCCACTCCCCCCAATCCTTCCACGAACAATTCCTCTCCGCACAGTCCGTCCCCTCACAGACCTCGTCTCCATCTTGGAACATATCACAAAAGACATCATAGCACTTTACATGTTAGTAGGCAATATTAAAAGTAATATGTGTTGCCTCGTCTAATCAAATTGAGATTTCTTACAGTAAGATATGTACAATATGTATTTTTTTAAGTGAAAAAAGTTGGTAGGGCTCATTTAAAAAGCAATTAGATTAAATTAGCAGTTTATTAAGATTAAATTATAGTTCTAGTTAAGGCCATAAGAATGTCTGAATCATTGAATTTCATTCAAAAGCTAAATTGTTTCCCTACTCTGTTGTTTTTACACACATACTGTATGTACAAAAGTTACACAAACTAAAATGGCGTTAACCCCCCATCTGGAATAACACTTTAAGTAAATTAAAAAAATCAATCTGGATCTGTGTTCTCTGAGATAAGAATGATGAATGATTACAAACCAAGCCACGCCACACAGTCCCAAAAAGCAAACTTTCAGATGTGACCACACTCAGTTTGTGTAGAAGTTTTACCAAGGAGAAATTGAAGATTAATACATCAAATGCTCTCTCACACACTGGAATAATGAATTCTCTGTTGTAGGATGTAAGCCCTTAGTGAGGCAGCTTTCATCTTATTACAAGTGTTGCAGTATTTTTGTAAAAATGTCACTGAACAGTTCCTAAAGCCCCTGTCACACTGTACCGAAATTGACACCCGATGGACACACGAATATGGAATTGTGAATTTTGCACGAAGATGGCCCCGAACCACAAACGAAGGCAACATTTACATTACATTTAAGACATACAACTGCAACAAAAGTATTATGATAAGTATTATGATACTGGAATGATATTTTCCGACTTTGTTCTTTACTTTCTCCGTCTTTATATGTAGAAGATATTAAGTTTTCTCCGTCATGTTGTTTCCATAGCAACAACAACTTCCTCGCCTTCAAAATAATATATGATATCCTTTTTAGTTTCACAGAACACAAATTGGGTTATTTACATAATATGTTTACATGATTTTGTTGTGCAATAAAACAACCAGATGGACACACTATAAAGGAAATGTTCAAATTCGGCTCTGATCGTAGCAACATCGGGCCATTCGTGAGGGCATCTTAAGCCATCTTTGGCATGCCAAAGATTTTGCCACCGCTCCCGAAGTTGCTGCCGGAGCCTGATAAATTCCACCGGCGGTCATATGATGGCTTAAGATGCCCTCCCGAATGCCTTACGAAGGGCAAAATGGACACACAAAGTCAACACGAAAATGAACCTTCACAAGGTCCTTCGGCAATGCTTTGTGATGCCAAAGATGTTGCCACCGCTTCCGAAGTTGCTGCCGGAGCCTGAGAAACTCCACCGGCGGTCATACGATGGCTTAAGAGGCCCTCACGAATGGCTTACGAAGGGCAAAATG